GGGCACACCTTCCAGACGCGGTAGCGGAATCGTCAAGCTGATTCCCACGTTGGTGCCGACCCACAGTAGGCCCTTGCACGCCAGCAGCGCGGTGACCATCACCGCGGTTTGATTATTAACAGCGAGAGTGCTGCCGCACGAATTCGAGGGGCTGTTCATCTTCGTCACTCTCAGCACATTCGACGCTATATTGATGTCTTGTAAGTGTTTGAACGTTTCCGTGTGATAGAGGCAGACTGTACTTGAATTTTTTAGGGCCACCCAAAGACCGACGCCGGAATGCGCCATGAGTTTCACATTGCCGACGTGTTCGTGCTGCACGCTGAAGCTCTTGGTGATGTCGCCCGAAGTAGCGTTAAGTACCCACACCTTCTTGCCACAAGCGGCGTAAACCGATGTGTTGATCGGCATTAAGCAAGAGACGGGATCGCTGCCGAATGAGATAGCGAAGGGATCTTTGAAGGACCAAGTGCCGTCGGCTTGTCGCTTGAAGAGCAGCAGCAGGCCGGTGCCCAAGGCGACGAACACGTTGTCGCAATGATACTTGATTTCTGTCACGGGTCCCGAGACGGGATAACTGCCGATCTCCTCCTCCTTCTCGGGCTCCGTCGCAGCGTAGATTATGATTTTCCGAGAATCCGTGCCCATCCACACGAGATCACTGGCGAGCGTGGTAAGATCGCTGGAAACCCCTTTCACAAACTCGATGGCGCTCACTCGAGTTTCGACCAGATCGAAGGTGGTTATACGTTTCAAAGAGGTCGCCGAGGCTGTTGTCGATTGGCCGAAGACCGTCACGTGGCTGGATATGCCATCTCCTGTGCATATCCACAAATAATTCTGACTTCTACCGCGTCGCCTCGTGAGACGCGAATTTTCGACGGAATAATAACAACCGCAACGTACCTGCAACGAAAATCGCAATGCGAGATTGGTATAATTGGAAAAAAAGCAATGATATACGTCCTCTCTAATAATATCCAAGCGTGTCGACTTACTTCGGTCTGATGTTGCGAGTGATACACGGCTTGTGAACTAACGAAAAGCGGCATTTTCGTGGACGGTCTCTGCTCTTGTTCAGGTACTTCCCACGACGGAGAGTTATTGGGATCCAAAGCCAGCTGCGCCAATCTAAGCTCGGTTATCCAGTCCTTCTTCACCAGCGGATTTTCAGTTTGGAACGTGTACATCTGGCCCTGCTTCGTGACTAGTTGCAGGCAACAACTATCGGCCCACACCATGTCCTCGTCTTTCTGCTGTATCGACATTTGTATCGATTGCAAAATTTGCTTCGTAGTCTGAAGCGTCATCCCCTTTAAACGCAAAATTGAAAAATTACTTAGTTTCTCCTTCAATTGTAATTAAAAAATTACAATTCTTAAACTTCTACCAAAAATACAAATCACTCCACATTTTATTTTAGTTGAATTTATGCATATTTAACATAATTAAGATGTCATAGATATGTTAATTTATGTTACCTCGTATCTACCCTTCAACTGGACCACTAAATCACTTATTCTGGACATCACCTCGTAATCGTGCATAAGATCGTTCATCTCTACACAGAGACTGTCCGCATCGGCCGCTTGTCCGCATTCTCCGCTTTTGTCTGATCTCAAACTGCCGCCTTTATTCAGGCCAGCGGTGAGTAATCGACTTAAAGTCGGAGAAGTACTAGTGTCTTGAATCTGCAACCGATTCATTAATAATGTTATTTTGTTTATCTTTAAGAAATATATATGATCCATTTATATAATTTCTTGTAATTTTTTATTTTAATCTCATATAAATTAATTTAAATCAATATTTCTCGACAAAACTGCAGTTTATAATGAAAATCGCGCTACCTTTTCCAATTTATATTTTACTTACTTCAATATCCGATACCGGATATGTCCATTTTAACGTCAGTCGTTCGTTTCCTGAAAAATCTTCCGTGGATCTCGGAGTAACAGAAACGCATACTACCAAGTCATTTAATAGTAACAGCCTTCTTCTTTTAGATTTTGTTATCATGCCGTTTTGATTGAATTCCTAAACAAATTATATATCGTTATTATTTTTTAATTTATTTATTATTGTTAATACATATATATAATTAATGTCCTTAAAAGCAACTTTAAATTTGTTAACTAATAATAATAAATAATAAATTGATTAAATATATCTTACCAATTGCGTGACATTATCTTCCCGAATAAGATAACGTGACGCTGAAGAAAGCGGACGATGCGATAACTTTCCGGAAACATGTCGCAGCATTTCCTTAAATGCTTGGAATTGCTCCGCTTCTCGTTTCCTTTCGTTCAACATTTCTGCTAAGCTTTCAAGCTGTGTTAACGCTAATTGCAAAGACATTCTGTCATGGTGTCCTTGTGGCGTGTGTTTCAATAAATCCTGAAAATATGGACTTGCGTTAATCAAAGCTGTCGAGAAAAAAAATTGCCTTTCATACATTATTAACAAACTCACTTGCAAAAATAAAATAAATTGCGGGAACCTCTGCACAGGTTTGACCATCAATCCAAAGAAAGATAATCTATCATGTGCGCTTATTTGCTTCACCTAGAAGCACAGAAAACACATTAATAAAAACAATTATTAATATTTAATCGTATCGACTCTTTTAAAAAAATCACGCAGTACCTTGAAAAAGTCAGCCAGCGCGGTCTTCCTCTTTGATTCTTGCTTAGCTAAATCCATCGCAACGGAAAAGTTGTTTATAAAGCCACTATAAATGTCAAGTACGATAGCTTTGCTGAAACTCGCGACAAACACGTCTCCTAACTTCTCGTCCTTGTCCCAGGATCGTACGCACTCCGCCAGAGCGATTCTAAACAACGTATGGCATTGTAAGATTTCGGGCAGTCTATGAAACAACGTCGTTATTTTTGATTGGCTCAGTATAGGTGGTGAAGATTCCTCCAGCGGTTTTTTGTAGTCCTGAAATCAAAATAACTGTGTGAAAAAAAATGGCCCGCCAAAATCGTCCTTCGCAATCTCGCGCGAAGCGAGAGATCTCGGTACGTACATTTACTAGTCTCTGCAAAGTAGATACGTAGCTATTTTCAGAATGTACTATCGCGGCCACGATGTGTCTACGTTTCAATTGTTGGGGAGACAAGTTCGGAGGTGGCGACGGGAGCGTGGGCGGTGCTTGTCTTCGTTGTTGCATACATTGAAACTGAACCATCGCGCTGTTCTCCTCATCAACCTAGAATGCAACGATCGTCTCATGAGCACTCGATATAGTACACTCGGCGCGAGTGCTTGATTAACTCGATTGAACGACTCGCCCGGCACGATCAGTCGAAATTAGCGAAAAGAGGCTCACTTCGCAGAGCTGCGGCATTTGCGACGTTTTGATCGGATTGGTCAGAGACACCGTATCCGATGTGTCCACGTCGTAATGATGCGACGAGCCTCTGCGGATGCTGAACCATCGCGAGAGGCGGCTGTGATTCCCCGAAGGTTCCAGGAGGTCCACATTGTTCACCGGCATGTTCTGAGACCGCCACTTGTCGCAAAGTGTACGCGCCTTATGCAACGTGTTTCTCAATTGACAATTGCTTCTGCAAGGAGCGAACGACCAGTTTTCACGATGTACATAGCACTCGACCGGGTTATGTAACGAGATTGAACTTACTTAATACTGATATTACTCTTCTCACTTTCGTCATCCGAGGAGAGATCGTGATCCGACGCTGAGCACCAGGAGTCCTCGCTTCTGGCGGACTGCGTCGACGTGTTGGACCTGCTTGTCTCTAACGAGGAATGATGCGTGTGCGAGTTTCCGCTGACGGTTTCCATTTTTCCCGGGCCTACGTCATCCCACGATCTGCACCTTGAACGGGGCTCATCTGGAAACACACAACAATACTGCGATATCACATCCGCGAAGGAGAAGTCAACTTCACGCCTGTGTTAATGTAATTAAAAAAAAAGTTAACGCGGAGTTAACCTGAAAAGCTTCGCGTGGCTTTTTGCAATTAAACTCGCAAACAGTGCTCTCACGTCATCCGATCGGCTGTAGATATAGATGTCAGTTATGCGTCACCTCTGACGGACGCATCGCGACGATGGTTTCCGTATTTCGCCCTCTTAACCGCGATTGCACGACGGGGACCGCGAGGGGACACTCGAAAATTGCCAAGCGGAATAACGAATGCCTTACGAATGTGCAACGAATGCGAGATCGCAGGCGGTCCCCTGCGCGGAAGCGTCGCTTTGCTATGCATTGCCCGTTTTATTGGACCTTCCGCTGTTGCGCGCTCGTGTTACCAACGCGTTAACGTCGCGACGATAATCGGGTTAATGCGATGTTACTTGTCCGTGTTCCGTTCCCACGTTTCTCGCATACGTTCGAGTGCGTTGTAATATTTTTACGGCGCAGACCGTATGACTCAATGCGCCGAGTATCAACAGCTCTATTCTGTTGAAGATGAGTCGAGCCGATACGGCGAATCCTTCCGTAGAAATATATATTCCGCTGTGATACAGATCGTTTATTTATATAAATATATCCGGCGTTAGTCATTGGATGGAAATGCTACATTCGAAGTGCGTCGTATAAGGTGCCTCGGACAGAATCATGAAACGCGTAAGTTTCGACCTCAAGGTCGATTAACTATTGCGCATACGGAAAAATCTTTTGCAATACTGGATCAAAGATCAACAATCAGCCTCGTAACAATATCACAGCAATCATAGTAACAACGCTATATATATATAATCGCAATGTTATCAATCTTTCGTCTTGCTCCAAATTTTACTTTCCTGTAAACAAAAGTATCGCAAATCATCCCGTCGCTGTGAGCGTAATTCGTGATTGCTATTATTATAAAGCCGATTATTAAATTCTCCTCTGCTCTAGTGTTGCAAAACGCATGCGCGCGGTTCTTGTGTTAAACAAAGCAATGTTTTTTTTTTCTTTTTTTATAATATTCAAAAATGACGAAGACACAGCCTCTCACGTGTCACCACAGCTCCACGAAAACTGATACGCCTACTCGTCGTCGATTATTCAATACTTTCACATGGAAAAATACGGTGGAATAAGGCCTATCCCGACCGTTGTATGCGCCGTCGGTTTCGTCCCACGCACCGTCCGCGTCGCCTGTGTAAACGCGTCAAGTGGCATACGCATTCACTCTGCACACACCGTGTGCACACACACTTACACATATACGCCGGGATTCAAGGTGGCTCCGAGCAGGTAAGAAAACGCACGCAGTGCCGTCCACGAAATATCGCGCGACGTAATAATAGTGCATAGCCGGGCAAATTGCGCGCATGCTGCACATCCTCCGCACCGATGCGCACCGACCGAGGACGCGGGAGACGAACACGACCGAGCCGCTATTCCTTCGAGAATAACGAGAGCCGCCGCGTATCCATCAATCTGCTCTCTCGCATGCTCTCTCTCTCGCGCGGAGGAGAGGCGGATGACGAATGACTCCCTCTCCGCTCATTTCCGCGCGTACATCGCCGCGAGTTTGTATACGCCGGCGAGCTTAAAGCTGACGCGACCCGATGTGTCACGCACGTGTTATGCCCATAATTGTATTTTTATATGTATATTGCCGCGACAGATCGTATTTCAAACAGATTTATTCCGCTTCGGAAGATCGAAAGAGGTCTGCTCTTAATTGCGCGCAACAAAATCCTTCCGTTCAAGTACGTCGAAGCCGTCGAAAGCGACGGAGATGTGCACAATGCGGTGCTCTTTATTGAAAAATATAAACCGAAAGAAAGTGGAGAAGAGCCGGAGCGCTCCACTTTTCACAGGAGCATCAGACTTAAATGTCATAACAAGAGACAATTGTTTAACTCTACATATTTAAGGCAATCGTGCCCGGGGCAAACTTGGCAACGACGCGACACTCGACACGTTCGCCATGGACGCGTGCATGGACGCACCGAGAGATCAGCAGCCTTTCAGGGTAACGCACGTGCGTCAGTGTTCCCGCTTTTATTCCGATTTTATTTCCGATAACAATGCGATCGATTCGGGGAGTCGCTCGGTTCACTCGTAAGAATTTCCCCGAGCATTCATTCCGCTCTCCTCGCGCTGTCTCCCATTATTCTCTCGTACGAGTGAATCTGCAAAACACGCAGGTTTTCAATTAAGGTGCCGAACGAGGGTAGAAAATGAAGAGAAAGTCGTTTCACAGAATGACGACGTTTCGCGATCGCAATCGCGCGGACTAAATGATCGGGCTGCGCAAACATCTCGCCGCTATTTTCGAGCGTTTATGCCCGATACTTGCCAATTTCCTTTCACTATTTCAACTAGTTCATTTACGTCGACTGCAAATATGGAGCAACGGTGGTGCGCTTTTAACAACGCGAAAAATCGTGGGCCCGCGTGACATTTCAATAGAACGCTTTGCGATAGAAAGCACGCCTACGCACGATAGCCTGTGTGCCTGTTGAATATCTGTATTATGTAACAGACGTACTTATATACATACATACATATATGTATATATCTATAGAGTATGTAGATATATTCCAATGTTCCAACTACAAATAATCCTCTCTTTTAGGCATCCACCTTCATCGTTCGATCTCGTTTATATATAAAATATCAATTCAATATTTAGCATACAAACGCATTTAATGCTACGAAGATTTTAGAAATTTATTATTATTCATTTAAGACGAAGCTAGCGCGAAGCTCGACGTGCGGTGCTCGAAGCGCAAACAACGGCGCGGCGTCTTTCCTATTTTCGTGGTTCCCGATTTCGCGACGTTTCTCGTATTCGTCGGTCTCGCATTCAGCAGCATTCAGCATTGTGCGAGGCAACGCAGCAATTTTCCGTACTGCGAACGCTCACGGGTCAGAGCGTCCGCTAATGATTACCCAATTGTACGCTCTAAATTGTATAAAACCGATCCGTGACACGCATACCGAATAATTAAGTTAAGCGTAGGCGCTATATATCGCCACGGTTATTATTGGCCGTTGAAATACTTATCGATACGATCACTCTAATTGTTGTAATCCAGATAAGAGCGTATCGAGGAAATAATACGGTTTAACGTTACGCGAACGCTGAAAAGGCGATCGTATCGGCGCAACCGGCTGATATAATCGTTGCATTTTTCATCGATGCGTTTCGTGCTCCTTCCGCGCACGCAATGATAACTGCCATTACCGAAACTATAATTAACTACGATACGGACGTGACGCAGTTATACCAACGCCGATGTTTGCTGTCGTTCGCACGCCGATACAACTCCATTTTGAGCGAACTCGACCATCGGCATTATATCTGACAATGAGATGCGCCAATTTTCGGTCTCATCCACATTACGTTTCGAGTTTGCAAATGTAGCATTCGCGGACTGTTTCCAAACAATGTTCCCCGGCGCGCGTCTGCGTTGGGTTTCGAGAAAAATGGATGCGTGCGAATGTAAATAATCTTTCTCCCATTTTCCGCGCTTTGTGTGGCACTTGGTTGTAGCCCTTGGTAACCGTACGTGTCGTGTATAAGCCAGCAACTGATACCGGCATACTAACGCAATCTCGTTATTAAATCGACGTTGCAACATTTTTCCGACGTATCGCGCAGTTCAATCTAACGTAAAAAAGAAAAAATTGCAATTACGATAAAAGGACGCTCGGAATATTCGCGAAATTTCGCTGTCCGCTGGATCGCGGCGATCAATTTACCTTGACACGCGACACTCCAGGGAAGAGCGTACGAAAGTGAATCATGAGATGGGGAAGTGCATTATCACACAGAGGCATCATTGATAATCGCTACTCACATTTGATGAGGACAACCCCATTATGCAGTTCCTCCATCTCGCGGAGGCGAATGTTTCTTGCGACGATTTACTCTCTTTCTTTCCCTTACTTCGCCATCACTCTTTAACGTACTCGCAGAAAGCGATCGCGCTACACCACACGCGAATTCACACGCCCGCGCGCGCGCGCACGTACACACCCGCGCATATACGATACATATGCCCGCCACGAATGTATGATTACGCGACTTAACGAGGTGAAATAAAAATCACATCGGGCACGTGCGTACGCGGCCGGCCGCGGGGCCCCGGAACAATTAACAACGCCGCGGCATCCAGCGATAAGGAGGTGGAGGACGACAACGCGCTCGCGCTCGACAAAGAAGCGCCACAAACCGAGCGGGCGTACGGAGCGAGTCAACATGGCCGTGCCGCGTGTTTCTACCGCCGGACGCCCTCCGCGCGCGTCGTTGTTCCGCGTCGTCGAGTCGCCGTACACTGGATGCGGAGATTGAAGAAAGAAACGAAGGGCACAGCGGAGGAAACAGAGACCGAAACGGAGGAAGGGACGGAGACGGGAGGAAGGAACGCGGGCGAGCGAGCGAGCGAGCGACCGACACCGACGGAGGGTGTTGCAGTCACCGACGAGAGAGAAAGTAGGAGCGATCGAGAGTGAAACACACAGCTCTCTGACGTCTCGCCTCGCCGCGCAGCTGTGTGGAAGAGAGAAAAGTGGAATAGAGGCGTACGTACGAGAGACAAGACAGTGAATGAATATAAAAGAGAGGAAGAGGCGCGGCGTAGAACGCATGAGAACGGACAAAGAGAGAGAGAGAGAAAGAGAGAAGCATGGTGGCAACTATGCGTGATAAGAGCGATAAAGATACGGATAATCTTGCTTCGGGGGACCACCAGGCGATATGCTGTACCACGAACCTCTTGTGTACATGGAAATGTATACCGTATCGAGTGCGCGCGATTGCTAAATTGGCATTTAGTGCCTCGCTATCAATTTCCATGATAAATAAGCCCTGATTCTTCTAATTAAAATAAAAAAGCGTTCCCTGATCTTATTATCGTAAAAATATGAGAGAAAAAATAATGAAAGATACACGTGTAAATTATGATACACATGTTTTTACGCCGCTGGAATCTGGATAAGATTATAATCGCGTTATAAATATTTAAAATACGAATACAACTCAACCGGTATGTGCGCGCTGCGAGAGCATACGTGCAGTACCACTTCTCGTCACTACGTTCAGCTGGAACGGCGCCACGATCTGGGCGATGCAATTACAATTGCGTGCAAATAAAATGTAAAGTATCTGAAAAATGAGTTGGAATAAAAAAAGCAGACAAGAGACCTAATGACTTCTGAAACAAAAATATCGAAACTACAATTCTGAGATCGTGTTAGACGTTTGAAGTAATTCTGTAAATTTATTTAATATCACGAATTTCGTTGAAAAATAAATTGTGTGCTTACCTAATCTAATCGTTTTCTTTCGAAAGAAAAAACCGTGAACTTTTTTCACCAGGCGGTCGTTAATCCGTGAGAGAAATACAATGACTCTAAGTAAGCGTAAAGCCGAAAGAGGGCTATACGACGTAAGCAGAAGGAAAGAAGGCGAGAGAGAAAGAGAAAGAGAGGGTGGAGGGGGGCGTTCACGTGATCTCGCATCTGCTTCTCCACCGAGTGACCCCAGAGCTGACCCCTTCCAAGTACCAATAATTAACTCCATTCGCCAAATGCACGCGAGCGTACGGTCCGAGTATGAGCTCGCGGTGTTATGTACCGCGAACACGTTTTCATAAAAAGAACAGCTACCCACCATGCAGTTGCGCGACAAAACACTTCGCAAAATAAACACACGAAGATCCGTGTAGTTTTTCAAGTACATTCTGTAATTTTCTCGAAGATTCTACACTTTTGACCGCGCGTATCGCGTGTTAATTGTGATTTCGGTTTCGTGTAATGCATATGTTAATGCATATGTTAATGCACATGTAATTCTCTCTTTCAGAACGGTTCTTCTTTCGAAACTCGTGTCGCGCGTTTTTTTGTAGAACAGAATAAAAAATGGGGGAAAAAAAAGGAGAAATCCCGTCCTTCCATTCTTGCTTCGAGGAAACGTATTTCGAGGAAAACGTCGTTGATATTCTTACCGCGCGATGGACAACGCATTGAGAATTTGTAACGAGTCGTTCATGCGCAAGTAATTCATAACTACGCGTAACCGCTACCGAGCGTGATATCCACGAAAACGCGAGAAAGAAACGGGAACGAAAGGGATTACCGTTAGATATAGCTTATTTCTAGCTATTTATCTACGTCCTTACATCTTCTTCTTTGTATCTTATATTTATCAGAAATAAAAAATAATCGGAACAATGCATCAGACTTACCGATGATTTTGCTGCTGCTGCTGCTGCTGCTATTATTTCCAAAGGAATGGAGTTTCTTCCAGCCTTTCCAGCCTTTCTTCCAAATCATGGCGGCCTTCATTTTGCGCTGAACACTGGATGGTTCCGGACCGCTCGTTTTTCCCATTCCTCTCCTTAAAGATCCCAAGCCCGATCTGCGGAATTAAATTGAACGGGGATGTGAGAAGTGAAATAAGTTTGGCGAATTGAGCGTCGTTGAAAAACCGCAGTGCTCTCTCGCGACCCGTCTATCTAATCTGTGGGAATTGAGACAAACGAGCGTGATAATACTTGCGCAAACGTACCTGTAACTCGCGCTGGAGCTCCCACTGAAACCGCTATCCATGTCGCATCCGACGCGCGAGAGAAGATCGTCGGCGGGGCCTACTGCAGGCAACAACTCCTCCGTCGAGGTTCCACGTGCTTCCTGCACCACTTGTTCCTCGTTATTGTCGACCGCGGTCGGCATCAGCATCGCTTCCACGCTCAAGTTAAGTTCCCCGAGCACACGACGATGTCGCGATTGCACGCGACGCACCTCCTCTGCCACGAGTGACCTTCGCGATCCGTGCAGCGCGCGATGGCATTGCTTACTGAAAAGAGTTGATCACCGTTGAAAAACACTGTTCGGAAGGCGATTCGATGCTCACGCGATTATTCACGTTGAACCGGCAAATTTCTCAGCGCTGTGTCGAATAGTACCAAGTCGCAGAGGATGTATATAAATACGCTAAGTGAATCTATTGAGAAGAAGACACATTATGAGCTATCCGTCTCTTGACGCGACGTATGAAATAATACAGTTATGCACTTAGAGCGATCGTTCTCAATTTGAACGCGCACGCGGTTTATCTCGTCTCAATGACTTATGCGCCAGTCGAGGACGCTGGATGAATAATCCACAACTTGTTTTCTTATTGTTCCTAACTTAATCGCTATCTCCGGCATCCGCTGTAAGATACATTGAACTGTGGGGAGCGATTGTTGAATTGTTGTTCACTTGTGTCGCGCGCGCATATATCCGCCGGAAAATTTACTTCACGACTCGCACTAGTCGCGCAAACCAATATAGAATGAATATAAATATTAATATATTCCATATCGCGCACCAGGTATAAGTGTCGACAATTTACAACGAGAGTTTAAAATAATCCCCGAAGTTAGTAAACTCGCTGAATAATCTGTTTATGAAGGTTATCTCTTGGTAATAGATATTTACCTGATTTCTGATATCTCCTCATAAATGTTTTCCTCCGTGCCATAGCAGGTTGTGTAAGTATGCCTCTTCAAAGGATCGGATCTTATCGTCTGCAACTGTTGTGGCGGTTGTCGTAGCTGCTGCAGCTGCTGCTGCTGCTCTTGCTGTTGTTGCTGTTGTTGCTGTTGTTGCTGCGTGAGCACGTCTGTCGGATACACGGTATGATAATGACCCGAATCAGGCTTGTAGTAAGCATATGAATAATCCAAAAGAGGACGTTGGTGAGGACTCGTGATGGGTGCCACCACTGGCGATACCGGTTCCATTAATGCGTTGCACGATATCTGCGGGAAAAAAGAGCGTAAACGTCGCGTGATAGCGCATGAATTCTTGGTACGGTGTTAACGACTGTAAAATAACAAAATAATGGAGAATTTATGGAGAATAAATGAAAGGCAAGCGTTTATCGATCAATCGTACTTGAAAAATCCCTCGCTCTGACGAGACTTATCGCACGCGCTTATTAAGCGCATGTGTGCATCATTAGCGAGATTAGCTGAATCAAGCTTACCTGACTGTGAGGCGGTGGATAGGGTGGAGGTGGGGGAAATTCCAGGTTGACTATTCGCGGCGACGGGACGCCCGACGTCATTCCTGGCCCCCCTAAAGATGAAGCCATGGCACATCGTTCGGGGAACTTTGACTCATTAAACCACGCGGTCCCTTCCTTGCTGTTCCATTAGATTTTTCTGCAACGAGGAAAAATAAACGTCGTACATCACACGTCGTTCGTTCGTTCGCACATTCGGCTGGCGGTGCGCGCGGTTAACAGCGTTGCTCTCAGAGACAATAGATGCGCTGTTCTCTCTCCTGTCTTTGTTCGAGATTATACGGTGCATTATTTAACGCACTCCAAGTATCGCGAAAAACACGCGGCATTACGAAATGGAATTTTGCGAAAAAGCGGGAACGGAAGTCCGCTGTGTGCCTATCGCTCTGTATGTTTAAAATACGGTCGGAAGGAAGCGCGGGTCTACATAAACGCAGATAGATAAATCCAGTATCTTCCACGAAAAGGATGCAGGTGCGTGGGCGCCGTCCTATTCTAATTCCATTTGCGCGCTACGGAATCCTATTAATCGCGAGGGAAATAACTGAATCGAATCGGCACACGCCTTTATTATCCGTTTCATTTGAACTTTAATTATTTATTTTTTTACGTCTCACTTGCTTTATTCAATTTGAGATTGTCACGCACAATCGGCGTGACAAATATAATACAAATAAAGTTACGTAGCGTGGTCGAAGATAACATTGGACGGCAAGATATGAGATATGGAAATATGGAACAGCCAAGATATATGGAAATAAGGAATTGTGCCAATCGGTACGTAAGAGAGAATCACACGGATGAGCGTGAAAATATTTACTATCCCGTGTAACACTCTCTCCGGTGCTTCATACAATACGATAAAAATATTGTGCGCGTGAAAAGAGCTGATGGACCGTAAATACACGAAACGATCCTTAAGCTCAAGGTACACTCGTGTTTTCTCCAATTTCTGCCCGTTTCTATCGACGAGATTTAACCAGTTAATCCTTAATAACATTCGGCTGATTTAACTCTGAATATCAATTTACCACCAATTATTTGATTTAAGCGCTATCGATATTCGGATTAAGTTCAATTAAACGAATAATATCCTTGAGATTAACTCTTTTAAACCACGTGGAAAAACGGACATTTGAGTTCAAAAACCCAAGCGAGCGAAATCGACTCGAGCGTAACGAAGACGAAAACAGCAGAAGCGTCGAGAACACGGAATTCCACGTATAAATGTGAGATACATTATTGTGATAACATGTTGGTACGATAACACATTATTTCATCTTCATCCTCGTCGCGTGATATTTTGATCACTTACAACGGTAACTTCGTAAGTAATTGCAAAAACCGGAGAGATATACGACTTTTTGTACATTACAGGTAACTCTTTTTCCCGCTGCCTCGGCAATTATAATGGGAAATAAATTGTTTGGAACGAAAAATTGAGCGAACACACGGTACAGTTATCCATTTAATTTGCGAGATCTCGAGGCAACTCACTCTTCGCTTGCCGATTTCTTTCTCAGCAACGAATTCTCAAGATAAAAATTCGAGAAATCAGTCTGTCTTCTTCAATATTTACTGTTTTTTTTCCCCCAACAAAAAGACGCACTACAATTAAATTAAATTAATTGGCACAGGTTTCTATAAATTTTATACTTATAAATCCTTGCAAAATTGAATGTTCATAAACTTTCTTACGTTTAATACACAGCAATCTATCGTGAGATGCAAAGAGAAAGGGATAAGGTCGACAAAGTGGCTGTTATACTAGCATCCAATATCGTGCACATTCCTCACACTCGGGAACAATAAAGAAAAGTGTTTCCCGCGGCAACGAAATTCCAAACGTTAGTCTATTTGTCTCGGACGATTGTGAAAGCATCTCCCGCGAGACGTATATTTAGACCTGGCCATAATTAAGCGGTGGTACCTCGTAGGCGAGATGAGCCCCGACCAAGCGACACACGATCCTCCAACCTCGCGCGTCCGAATGCTCCTCGGGCAGGCCCTTACCCTTCGAATCCACGAGAGAGATACACACATGCACACACATACACAGTGCCGATATCTGCTCGGCGGCTTACGCGCCGCGATTGTCGGCGATTGAGTGTCGCGGAGTGGCCGGCCGGGCCACACACGAACCACACAACGAACGATTCGTTTGCGCCTCGTGCTTAGATGGTTTCGCGTTCGCTCATTGTTGTATGTGAGCAAGCACGCCCCCTTGAGAAGCCAGTCGACCGGTCGACCGGTCGACCGAGAAAAGCCGCAGCGAGGAGAGGAGGTGGTGGAGGAGGCGGTAGAGGGAGAAGAGAAGGGACGAGAGATCGCGAGGAGGACGCGGCGACGACGACGACGACGACGACACGAACTCTCGAACTCCCCGACTACTCGATCACACGATTCACGTGATCGTAATCGAATTGCTGAACACTTCTCACGACGAGTGTACCTGCGACATGCGCATCTCTGATCTATTGAATTCCTAACAATGGGCGTACGCGAGCAGATCGAAATTCCGATAGATCCCTCGATCGGTAAATGATGCACGGTGAACACTGCGGTCCAGCGAAAAAAAAAAAAAAAACTACAATTTTCAGTCAGCTTACGACGTAGCGAATGGAAAAATCGTCGGTCGATAAACGCGGCGCTCACATAACCTCTCGCGCGCCCGAATACGCGCACACGGTTCTTCGCAAGTCGCTTTTTTATACAAACGCGCACAAAATATTCTATGCGATCTCCGGGCTTATGGTTACTTACGGTACGACCGAGCTCAATCCACACCGATCAGCATCGAGAATGTATATGGCATACAGCGGGCACAGCTATGAGCAAGATATATCGATTCCTTAAGTACACGCGCCTGCGTTCCTTAGATGGCGCTGCTCCTGGCGAACATTCGCAAACTACATTCACAACAGTCAACAGTTTAAATAATATCAATTTTTTTTCATAGAAATAAGTACTTGTTATTATATTTGAAAAGTAAATAATTCAAAAATATTAACTTATAAGCTTGAAAAATTTATCCACGCACTAATAGAAACTAATTTAAAATGTATTCAAGAACTCGATCTTGAAATTAAATTTTATATTTCTTCTAAAATCGAGAATTACTCATTTTATTTACCTTTTATTAATTTATACGTCCTTAATGTCCGAAATTTTAAATCAAATTATTCCTCTTGTCAAAATATTTATTCCTAATGTTGTGCCAGTCTATCGATAGCGCATGCTTTCTCTGATTCTTGCAATTTACTCTTTTATCCTACATTATAAAAATCTTCTGTTATTTTTTTTAAAGCAGGATATATAATATTCGGAAATTTGTTAACCATCTTATTAAATAAAAATTACATTAACTGAACAAAATGTACTCATTGAATTAAATTTAAGAGCAAAATAAATCTTTTTTTTTTTTTTTTAAGTGGCATTTTTCATAGAATGAAACAATAGAATTTCTAGAACCAATACACATTACAACTTTTTCGGTCCAATTGCTTTAAAAATTAAAAATGTCAGTCTACGGTAGTAATACGAAACTATCGAAACTGTATACTTACTTGTAAGCCGTGATAATCGAACTAAATTATTTCACTCTCACTCGTTACGTTAACGTTTTAGAACGAACAAACGTTGTTCGACACTTTCCACGCGGAAGTATACGCGATTCAACGGTGACTAAAAGGTCCTGCGCGCCTCGAGGGTCAGCTGGATCTCTTTCAGTCCGCGCGCAGACTACGTAGAATCGATATCGATCGATTCTCCTTACTTGTCGGCTCTTCTTTCACGATAATAATGCGGAGTAGAACGGGTTGGGTACCCCTGCATAGAATATCAATCGAATTCGTGAATCATCAAGGTCCGTCGTAGGCTCTATTCGGTATCCAAGTGAATCACATATACATCCGCTGGAGGATGAATTCTTACACGATGACATTTCTCACTCTAGCTAATCTGAAATTAATGGCAATATTTTCTTCTTTACGATATTTTATTCCGATGTGAAAAAAAAAAAACCTTTGTAGAAGAAAAATATTCGAAAGAAAACCAAGTTACCTGTTATTGGGATATGAGGATTCTGGTGAAGATTATAGGAATTGTTTTGGTACGAGTTGTGAAACGGTGAATTTGTTTGGAGGTCATCATTTTTTCTACTTCTATCTTGATTACCGCATTTTTGTTGTAGAAAAATTCTTATGCAGAATAAGATTTTCTTTTTTTTCCCCAGACAAAAAATTAATTGTTCTAAAACAGCCGAGAAAATTTTGTTGCGGCGACTTGATGAATGTTAATGCGGAATCAGGGAACCATCGATCGTGCATTCCACGATCTCAACGATGAACTGAAACACGCAAATAAAGCGAAAATTGTAAGAAAGCGAATGCAAACTTATAATTAATGAAATACGTTAAAGCCGCATGCGAGTGAAATCATCACGTGATTTTGGGTATTGTAGAGCAAGCTGTTACCTGTTCAATAATAATAGTAATAATCGGCATTTAATTAATAAATCGTTTTGGCACAGTACAGAATAGCATCGATTTTCATTCTCTACAAAACTCTTATCTCGTGTGCGTTGCGCGTCTCTCAGCAGCTTATCTTATCGCAAAAATACAAAAATTTATTTTCAAGATTGTTGCGTTGTATAAAAAGGATAATAAAATTTTCGGCAACGTTCTTACGTGAATGTATAACAAATAAATTATGCATCTCGAAAAAAGAGCATGTCAAGCGGACGTTGCGCTCGAACGTGCCCAAGAGCGTACAAATTCGTTCCTTTTTTTTTTCGCTGACGTTTTCACGTTACATGTAATAGATATCACATCGTTGCACCGTGACATCACATTCTGCAATTACGAAATTCGATGAATTAACGGATTTTGCGTTGTAATAATTTAGTAAAATACAATTTGTCGTAAAATAAATATCGATGCGATGCTATTTACGACGATCGCTTCTAATAACGTCCGCCTCTCGCCTCTCCCTTTTTCTCTCTTTTAAGGGATTTACGCTAAGCAGCGGCAATTCTCTTGCGTGCGATGCAACGCTACGTACACACCGCTTTGCTCTCTGCCCTTTCATTAGCCAGTCTCGTTACTGAAATTTAATAAAAGGTAAAAAGAAGAAAAACTAAGTTCTATCTATTTTCCTGTCTTCAGTGTTGAACGTAAGCAATTATAAAGACCGCGTTGATAGCCACATTTAAATTAAGACAGCGTGTACACATAAAGCACGTCGGAATAAAAGCATGCTGCTTACTAAACAATTAATGTTAAACTCGTCTAATCAAATACCAATAAACTCGCATATGAGGATGACTTTAAATAATCGTGACAGTAATAATATACGCGGGGGAGGGGGTATTCAAAGTGGCACTAAAAGTTATATCGTAATGTATAAATACTATTAATAATATAATGTCGATATGCATCGCTAGAGTAAGATCAATTCTAGCCGCTTAATTGTACGCATTTATGTACAAAATATTTCGCGTACTCGCATACGCGACATATAGCAACATTAACGTCAACTGACTATTATTCGTATTCGTAAGGCACATACGGTAAATCAACGCCTTCGCATGAAACACACACACATACACACACACACACACACGCACACAGCATTGAATTATTATTCAATATCGAGATATAGAAAATGAACCCGCAAGCTGTCGCGGCCGTAACAATTGAGCCTGAATCAAACGCAATGACATTTCTAACTTGCTTCCTAAATTCTCGGGACGCGGCAGCGTACAGGTTCGCTTGACGGTCAGTTCAATTTTAATTATTACTCTGACACAATATTTACCACATTTCATAGTGGTAAATCGCATGTCTTTGCTGAAGATTGTCCCATTGTTGTTCGACATCGCTTTCGTGTGTGCTTCTTAAATTTATAACGTATAAAATAGTGATACATGAGGAATACGATTAAATAAGTATATGGCAATTCTTTTGTACCGGTCTCATAAAAAAAAAACTAAAAAAATTTTAGAATTTTGATTAGACACCCAATTTTTTGACTAAAAACGAGTTGAGTTTTAAATTAATCAAAAAATAAATAGCCGAAATAGTGTGTAACTTTTCGAAACACTAAATCCGTTTGAAGAGGAAAGAAATGAATTCGGTTACCTAGAATCCGGCACGGCTCAATTAAAAAGGATATTCCTAAAATATAATAAATACAACTTAAATATTACGCACGTACTTACAATGATGAGTGTTATCGTTAACAAATATTATTGCTTATCGTGGAGTGGCGCAGCTTCTGTCGCTGGGCGCTTCTCGTCTCAAATATATCTCGGTTCGCACGAATACACATATAATGTACAATATAAATATGTTCTTACCTGCGATAATTTAGATTTATCATAACAATCGCGAGAGATAAAGAATAATAAAAGAGTAAGACGTAGCGGTAGTAGCGATTATGATACCAATTATAAGGATACTAATCATAGTATAAGTAACAGCAGTAATAATACTATTAATAATAGAAGTAATAGTAATAATAAGTTGGAGTTATTAGTAAACATTAGCAATCGCGTAATAACTGATGCCGCCATCGGAGGTTCTTCAGTCTTCTTTGGTTGCTGGGTAACTCGAAGAGATTAGTGGGTACAGCAAGGCACTTGTATAATACGGCTGCAATTAAAAACTCCCGTGCCTTTCCAAGCTTTCACCCCCTCGTTCTCGCGTCGGCTGTAACCGTCCACCGTAACGTCGCTCTCTTCGCGAGGAGAAGGACGCTCGGTTTCCGTTCCGTTTTATCCGTTGACGAGGATCAATTGATTAATAAGCGTCTGGCTGCGGGCGCTGGAGGCTCTAAAGCGAACGACCGGAGCGGGCGTCGCGGATAAGAATAGCATCCGATCATGTACCATCCACGTCCTTCCTCTTATTACACTAGCGTTTTCTTAAATTTCTGCACGCGCAAGCGTACAATCGCGCTCGCGCGATTTCGCCGCCGACAACGAGAACTTTGAGCAACGAGCGTTGAACAATTGTTCTCGTCGTCGGCGTTGACGAAGAGCAGCGTGGGGCGAAAAATGCTCGCGCGACGAATTTTCCGCTCAGTCGAATGCGGATTTAAATATCCTCCCCC